AGACCTCAGTGTGTGTGTAGACCTACAGCGTGCGTGTAGACCTCAGTGTGTGTGTAGACCTACAACGTGCGTGTAGACCTCAGTGTGTGTGTAGACCTACAGCGTGCATGTAGACCTCAGCGTGTGTGTAGACCTATAGTGTGCGTGTAGACCTACAGTGTGCAGGTAGTCCTACAGCATAGGTACAGATCTACAGCACTTGTGTAATTTAGTAAAGCTGGGAAAGCCTGATGCTTTCTGTAGGCCTTATCTACATTAAGTCTGCATGTCCCTGGACCACTGCAAAGAGATCTTTATATGATTATTCTTATGGCAGAAATAGCAACATCTAGCATCAAATCATTCACAGTCCAAAAATTTTTAGAAATCTCTTCTAAAAACTAAACTCATCTGTCAAGATTTGTTGGGAAGAGATGAGCAGCGTCCAGCTGAGTGAACAGTCCCCAGAGATAAGAGCCTTGCTCTCAGGGGTATTTGGGAAATGTTTTTCATTCTTCTTCACTCTTCCTTCCTTGCTTTTAGTCTCTGTTTATTTGGCAAAAGTGCTTTTTCTTCCATTGTTTAACTTTCTCTCAGATATACAATATCATATTCCTTCCTCTGTCCTTCCATTTCTTACCTGCATCAAGGTGCTTCACAGCTACAAACCACAGCATCTACTTCAAAATAGAAAGTGTTTCATTGTACATGAATTTGTGATGGCCAGTGAGTGAACAGCTGCATGAAATAACAACATAGATGTGTGTGTGTGTGTGTGTGTGTACACATTTAACAACCTGGAATGAAATCTAATTTTCACCACATCTTTGGAAAATTTAATTTTCCAAATACTAATGATGTTATTTCCTCACTTCGGAATGTATGTTAAAAGCATTGCTTCTCATAGTTTACATTTTATAAATACCTCAGTGGATGGCAAAACCAGATTCAGGGAAAAGAAGCAGATGAGCACAAAGGAGAGTCCCCCAAAGGTATTAATTAGTAAGACCAAACACATTTGATGGTTGAGGATCAGGTTAGTTATATATCTTACTATCGGGTTGTTGAAAAAGTCACAATGAATTTCTTCTAAATTTTTCAAGCAAAAATACGTCATGACTTTCAGACAATCCAATAATCCTTCAACTGAGAATAGTTGAAACCTAGGTAGAGTATATGCCTCATTTAAAGCCAATTCCAATAATCCACACGTATGGTAAATGTCAGGGGAGAGGAGAAAAGGCCTTGTCTCTCTGGGTTGGCCTCTGTCTCCACCCCACCCTACCTGATCCCAGCTTAATTTACTCTGTAAAACTTGGAGCTCAGAACTCATCCTCTTTCTTGCAATTCCACTGCATGTTTGAAATTTTCCATAAGGAAATGTTGGCCTGCACGTCTGTCATTTCCTGGTTCTCACCCCTCCGGTCTTCTCGCCCCTTTGTGACCATGCTGTGTACCGAGTTCCCAAGAAACTCATTCTTGGAGGTTCCCTTTCCTTGATGCTGGAAGTTGAAAGAGAAAGTGAGAGAGAGACTCTATTGAGAGTCCCAGAGCAGCCCATCAATAAGAGGGACAATTCCTAGGAGGCCAGGAAGGGATCAATGAAAGCAGAACTCTAATAGCTAGAAAGCATCTCATTTGTTCCCCCAAAGACTTTGGCATCTACCAAAACATCTGACTCCAAGAGCTACCCAGAGGTTAGCCAGATTTAGAGAGGTGGCTAGAAAGGAGTTTGGGATGTGAACTGCCTCCTGCCTGCCAAGTCCCGGGTGTAAGACTGAGGGATGTCTTCCCGCTCCTGTTGCCAGCAAAGCTGGTGGACCAAGTCAGCTGCTCCAGCCAGCACCTCGCCTGTATCCCAGCAACTTGGTCCTGAGCAGATGACCAGATGGAAGAGGAGAGAGCTGGGCCCTGGGGTCTTGGAGTGAGCATGCGTGGGGAGGGGGGCCTTCGGCATTCAGGGAGCCCAGGGCAGCGATCAGATTTGACAGGACATATGACTGTCAAGGACTGGCATGCCAACCTTTGTCTCTGGTGGACCCCATTTATGTGGGCAGCCAATACACAGCAGCCAGGCTAAATTGTAGCCTCGCTCAGTAAATGCCCTAGTTGTTTGGGGTAAAAGTGGTTTAGATCAGCACCCAGACACTCTGACAAAGGTCCAGAGGGAGCTGGGGCACTTGCCAGCATCATTAGCATTTTTTTCTTCTTTTTCCAGCAACACTAAAATATGTTTGCTCAAAACAGAGAGATGAAAAACTCTTGGCAGTCGAGGCCTCTCTAAAGAAAAAGAAAACTGTTTTACTTCTCTGGCAAACATACCAATTAAAACGTTGCTGTGTTGTGACAGATCACACAATTAGTACCTAGATTGGCCTTGTGTGAGCGACGTTCCTAGGGCTGCAGCTGCCACACCTCATAGCACCGTGAACCTTCTCCAGGCTTCTGCAGCAGCCTCCAGCATGGAGCCCAGAAAACCAGGAAAAGAGTTTTTACTTTGAACCTCTGGGCGTTACACTGGAAGAATGAGCTTAACAGAAAGATCCCGACATTGAAAATCCTTCTGGGGATTTCATACTTTCCTCATTTGTAAGCAAAATCCATTTTCCCTGAGATATTTTTAGTGCAAGTATCCCCTGCTGTCCTATTCTCTTACAGTATACCATTAGATCTTGAGGCCCTTCCAAGCGGGTCACATGATTTCTAAGCATCTCTTCCGAGTAACTAATCTCGCAGGAGTCAGGAAAGACTAGATTCTTAACTACTATAGACCTCAAAGTCCTTCTCCAAGCATTGGGTCCTTATTGATAGGATGTGGAAATGCTTTACAGCTGCCTTTTCTAAGAGGTCAGCTTGGCAGAGCTCACTGGGTGACCTCAGTAATAGAGATATTTTCAGTCCTGCAAGCCACTTATGTAAATATAAAAATGTATTAGGCGGCAGAATTGCATGTGTGGGAACAGAACAACCGTGCAATTGAAAGGAACTTGCAAGGAACACTGGTGTCACTCACAGGGTTTGGTTAATGCTTGCATACTTTTGATAAATCGTTTTGATTCAGCAAACTGTTTGGGATAAGCCAATTTTCATTTCTAAAAGTGATGAACTATGAGCAGCAAAACCCCAAGCACTTAGTGAGGTGTCTAGCAAAATTCCCTTGAGGAAGTGTTTCCATGTTTAAAAAACAATCATTCCTACTTGTTTTAGGACCCTCGTTTGCCTTGGAAAAAGTGTCAGGGCCAAGTCAGATTGATATTTGTTTGACTTAAAACCAAGCGATTCATTTAAGTGGCTGAGTAGGCAAGAGCTATTTTTCAGACCTCTGAAACTGGAGTCGAAGAGAATCATCGCAGTGAACAGGAAACATGCTCTCACAATGAGCTGAGAAATTCTCCCTGGGCACAGCACTCCGATACTCCTGCGTGTGTTCAGTTTCAGTGGGTCCAATCTTTCCCATCTCTGCATCTGAGCTATTTGGCGGTGATCAGATGATCAGAGCTCAAGGAGTGATTGGAGAGGGAGCTGGCTGCAGCTGCGATGTAGGCTGTTTTCAGGGACAAGGAGCCACTGTTTTTCAAACATAGCATCAACATAGAAGTTATTTTGTAGGCTTCAGGATGCAGCAATGGGTTGCACTGCCAGCATTGTTCTCCTGCAAGCTTTCCGTGCTGTGGTCCAGAGGAGCTGTTCACACATTTGTAGACGACGCCAGGAGGAACCATCCCACGAAATTCTGCCTCTGGAAAGTGACGATGAAATGAGCAGACCCCGGACTCTGATCATAATGGTAGGCTCCCCGTGGCAAGCCGTCTTATCGATGGAAGTGCGGGTATAGAAATGAGGCTGCAATTTAGGGTCTGGGGTGTTCAGCTATAGAGGAAGAAAGGGGTGATCTGTACTTTCCCACAGACTTTCCTGTTTGGGGAAAAGCTGTCCAAACTCTTTCTGTCCTTCAAAAGCTGATTTTCTTTCTCTTAAGTTCCTCTCCTGCCTAATCTTTTGTATGTTGTTACTAACTTTGTGCTGAAGAAAAATAGGTTTTGGAGTTGGATGGAACTAAGTGGATTTGATTTTATAACTTTCATTTGAAAGAAGAGGTAGACGCTTTTATGTCACATACAGCCGGTCAAGTGGTGTAGATGTTGGTGATTAGCTCTAACTTTAAGGTATTTGGGGTGTTTATTCAGCACAGGGCAACGGAAATGCCTTTCCAACATGCTGAATTTAGGCATAAAGTTCTTGAGATTTTGTGGAGTGCATGATGATTTAATTAGAACACTGTTTCTTGCCACTTGTCAAATAACATTTGATGATTATTGTAGATGATGTAACTCCTTTGAATGTGACCCACAAGGAGAGAGCAGAGGGTGTCATTCCTTACTTTAGGTTAGAGCGATCTGCTTAGTCACTGAAATCCTGTGTTAAGACGGGGGTGTGTGCTGAAGTTTCCAGAGCTGTGGAGACACTGGATTCCCAGTGGTTTCAGCACAATCGACTTTTTTCTCTGACATTTCAATGTTCAGATATCAAGGGTGTAGTAAATAATGAATGAAAGATACCTGTTACACTAAAAGTTTTAAAGTGAAAGTCATTTGGCTTGACTGTGCCTCTGAGTGATAGAATATTAAGCTCTAACAGGCTATGCCAATTTCTTTAACAAATCACTGTTGGATTTTCAGAAGAGTAATACTGTCCTGGAACTATTGGGTCATGATTAAGAGGAAACACCAGGTGGGAATGATTTCATGATCATTACTCTTACAGGTTTTCACACGTTAAATTCAGGAGGATTTAAGACATTCATTTTCCAAGCTTAACTCCTACTAATAACATTAACAGTCTCTAGTTAAATCTACTGTTCACATCATCTCAATCATTAAGCAGTCATTTTTTAAATTTTACTAGCGAGACCATAGTTTTATAGCTAGAAATTTGCCCAAAAACATCTCATTTTGAGGATCCTTTAAATGCCTATAATGTCTGTACTAATAAGAGGTTGATGCATTTACTGATTAAGAAAATAGTAGTTCAGGAAGATGGAATAACTTGTGTATGTCACTTGCATTCTGTTCACACTTCTCAGTAAATGATGATAAAACTGAATTTTTAGAGATTTGACAGAAAACTCGGACCCCTGTGAGTCAGAGAAGCTCACCGGGTCACTGCATCTGGAAAGCTTTCTCTGAGCCACTTTAAATTCACCTACCTCACAACCATTTATGTCCAGCTCCCTCTGGGGCAACTTGGTACTAAGAATAGACCTGTAAACAAACCCATCAAAGACCCCTGCCCTAAATTGCCAAGTCTTATAGTGAAAATACAATTTTCAAATCTTAGTGTTATGGAAATGTTTCCTTAAGGTGATGAGGCTTTAATGCACAAATTCATATCAATGAAACTAGCTTCCTAGACGGTTTGAAATTGTCAGTGTTTCAAAATCACCTGGGACTTCTTATTCATACAAATCCTCCAATTCCTGTTCCCAAATGCTTTACCTGAGAAAGACTAGGGCTGAGGCCAGAATCTTCACCGGTAGCACTCACCCCAGGTGTTCCTGATGGAGGAGCCTCTTGGGCGACACTCTGAGGAACATGCCTCTAGAAACACCTCCTCCTTGAAGCAGACCTACTAATTGTCTTCATATTCTCACCCTTATCTTGAAACAAATCCCCCCTCTGTTATTTTCCCATCAAACCTGAGTGATCAACTATTTGTATATTGATGTGTATATGGGAGGGGAGGGAGGTTTGGAGAGCCAGCTCCAGAGTCAGAGTCCCCACATGGGAATCCTGACTACTTCACTTATCCGCTGTGTGACCTTCTTCATGCTCTGAACATCTCTGTGTTTCTTTTCTTCACCTGTGAGCTGGAAAACCAATCCCAGAGCTGTCGTGAGGGTTTATGTGATGGAACATGGGCGGTGAGTGACTATGTTAGTGGAGGTTCAGTGGGGGATCAGGGACACCCTAATAGACAGATGGCATTTGAGGAAAGCAGGAGGTCAGGCAGTGAGCCTGGCCTTCTTCATGGGGAAAGGGCCAGCTGTGGGAAGAGGCCTATAAGAGCCTGGGATGTTTGAGGAACAGCGAAGAGATAGCCTGGCTGGTAAGCCCAGGTGATTATAGGAGGGAAGGTCACTGAGTGACAGGCAGAGTGGTCAGGCTTGTAGGTCATCATGAGACCTGGACAGGCACTGAAGTTCCGAGTTCAGACTCTGGAGCCAGCATGTCAGGTCTGAGACCTTCTGCCACTCACTAGCTGTGTGATCTTGACAAATGACTTTTCCTCCCTCTGCCTTGTTTTTTCACAGAGAGTAATGGTACCTATTGTGCAGTTATTGTTCCGTTATTTCTGGCAAAGAGCTTAGTGGACTGTAAATGCTCTACTAACAACGAGCTGTGATTTGGAAGGCCTTGGGCAGGGTAGGAAGCATGGGTGGCTGATGCAGAGAGACCAAGCACCGGGAAGCCTAGGATGGTCGTTTGCTGAGGTCACCGGGAGCAGTTGCTTTTTGGATACATTTCAATGCCAGGCCAATAGGGTTTGCTCACAGATTGAATATAAAGTGTGAAGAAAGAAAGGAATCACGGGTGTGTGTACAGTATTTGGTTTTTAGTTTTTTTTTTTCTTTGCTGGTTTGTTGGCTTTCACGACCAGAGGAGTGAGCGGCCATCAGGCGGTGAAGCCTATAGGAGATTTGTGAAAGACTCTTAGGTTATTAAGAGGTGTTAGGTATAAGATGCCTGTTAGTGTACACAAAGTCATGTCCATGGGAAGCCTGATATAGATCTATGCATCTGAGTTCTGAGGAACAGTGTAGGGAGGGGGTAGAGGTGTGGCCCATGTGAATACCAGTGAAGTAATTGAGTGAATAAATGACCTATCTTTTCTAATGTCCTAGAATACTTACACTGTGTGGATTTTGCCATTGACCTCCCTCGCAGAATTTCACTGAATTTTTAACTACTGATTTGCCTTACTGGGCATGGATTTTATTTTTTTAATCTCACTGTCAGGCAGATGGGAAACCTCATGTACGCAGGAACTAAGGTGACTTTGTGTCCCTGTGTTGTCCAGAATCATTCCTTTTATAGGCTAAGACCTGAATAAATATTGGTGATTATTTCAAATTCTTTTAGTAGTTGACACAGAAATGAAGAAACTCAATTGATAAAACTGCCTACGCAGCTTTTATTGAAATGCCCCGGAGTCATTTGAAGTGAGTTGCTCGGGTCAGTACAAGAGTGTTGATGCTTCTGCTGCTCAGGGTCTCCCAGGACAGGCTGTGACTCCCGCGGAGCAGCGCTTGGGGCTGGCACGACTGTAGCCTGGCTGTGTGGCCCAAAGTGGAAGGGCTTGCTAAACAAACATCACAATGAACTATTTCAGGCCTTTGGCATTTACGAGGGGCATATGAATTGTAATATGAGGTTGTAACAATAGTCTAATAAGTTGCAGTCCTGTTTAACTAGAAAAAATTTTTAAATTCCTTCAATGCTTCCATTTATCTCTCACTCAAAAAAATGTCTGCTTTGATGGAATATTTTTTTTACCTCATGGATTTTTGAATAACCATTTTGAATTTTTATTTTACTGCTATCAAAATTGAATGGAACCTTTTTACCAATCACCAGCCCTTATATCTCATTTTCCCTTTCTCCCTACCACTCCCTCTTAGCCCCAGGACCCTTAATAATTTTTGCAAGAATTTTATTTTGTCAGATTGTCCATTGTATTAATTTTCAATATATGCTTTTTTGTCATTCTGACCTGCTTTATTTATAGATATTTCCCTCCATTTGAAGTCCCTCCGTTTCCCTCATTCTGACCTGTTCACTTATAGATAATTCTCTTGAACTCCCTCCATTTTGCTACAGATGACTGCATTCCACCTTTCCCTATCACTGACTGATGGGAGAATGAACAGAAGCTGTCTATGAATTTTCTTCTTATTTTATATCACATCTTGCTGAAGGCCTCAGACTCTGTCTAATCTGCTATGTTCTGGTGAATATCTATAATTTCTCACACCATTTACACATCACCAACTTGAGAAGTTGACTTCCTTTTAAGGTGCATTCCCTCTCTCTCCCCACCCCACCAAAAAAAAAAAATGTATTTATTCATCTGGTCGCTGATGGGGTCTAGGAGTACTAGGAGGCGAGCGAGAATCAAACATTTGGCAACTCTTAGTCTCATTCTCTTGCTACGTGACTATCTGTCACATACAGATTCAAGGGTTTCAGCTTAAAAGTGAAAAAATGTAAAAATCCAGGGATATCTCTGAAGTAGTAGAAACTAAAAAAAAAAAATCAGTTTTGGGGTGCCCGGGTTCTCACCATATGACACGCCAAGGTGTTGGTCTTTAATTCAGGTCCACAACAAGGGAAATTTAACCATGACTGGACCTTGTGGTGAGTTAGGGAAGTGGAATCTCATCCGTAAGTCAAGGTTGTGCCTTTCTAGAACAAACATTTCGGAGCCAGGGGTCTTCACTTACTGTCCCCAAGGCTGAGTTTCAGGTCACTTTGATGACCTGGATTCCAGATGCCTGTTCAACACTGCGGATTGTGGTGTGAGTCAGATCTTCCCACAGCTTGTTTTGGTGCAGCCCTAGAACTGAAAACAATCTTCAGAGTTTTAAGTGTTGTAAAACAGAGCAAAAAGGAGGAAGAAGTAAAGAAGAGAGCATGCAGCAGGCTGACAGCTGGCTCACAGAGCCTAAACTATTACATACAGCCTGCCCCTGTGGAGGGAGGTACATCCAGGCTTTTCTGAATTGTGTGG